TTTATATTGATTTGGACAAGTCTAAATTCTCAGAAAAAAATAATTTGAAGTAATTTTGTAGTTATATTCTTGTTATAATATTTTTATTTTTTGAATAAAAAGTACTGTTAAACTGCATCCTTTCAATGCCAACTATCTTTGATATGTTGATTTTAAAGTTTAATTATTTTAACTTAGTTTTTCTTTATGAGTTATCATTTTTTATTCTTTTTCTCTTCAAACTACAGAGTTTTCTGGCCTATTTGTCACAGTAAATTTTTGTTGTTTTAATTATCTTAAACAGCCCATGTTAGTTGTTTTTGTGGCTGATTTCAGTTTTGGTTTTTTCTGTCATTTCATTTCTTTTACACTTTTCATCTTGTCTCAGAATATTGTCCAAAGTTTTTTGTGCTCCCTTGGTAACTGCAACTGATAATTAACTGACTGAAGGTTTCTACCAGGAATCCACATATTACCTCATTAGAAAAAGCTCAACTAGTATTGGCATAATTTTATTTATTTAAAATGTAATCTATTCATTAGTCTTGAAAATATAATTTTGTTAGATATTTTTTTGTTGGTAGGCAAAGTATTGTATTAAAATTTATATTATTTTAAGATTTCGAATTTGTTTAGAAAATAAATCCAGCGATGAAATTTGTTTTGACATAAATGTTCCGAATTCAAATACAGTTAAAAATTTGAAGAAAATGGTTAGTCAAATATTTCATAATTTTTTAAATATTGTTTACATTTTTTATGTGATGATAAATATGTTTTAAATTGAAAAATAAAAAACCGATTAAATGATGATGTTGCTTTGCATGTTGATGTTTTGGATAGTTGTTTAGAAATTGTTAATATTTTAAACTTTTAAAGATTTGGTAAGGAAGTTTCAACTTAAATACTTTAATAGTTTCAAATTTTTAAATTTTATTGAGGACTGAAGGGCAACACGCGCATGTATATCCGAGAACCAACGAAAATAATAAGCAAATGCGAACATTTAAAAATACAAGCGTTAAATAATGAATCAGTTTAAAACAATAGAATCAATCAAATAATTTATTAAGTGCCATTTCCGCGATGCTCAACGGCGCTCCTCGATGAATTTAACGAACAGATGGGTCTTAATATCCGCTACGAACTTCTTAAGTGATGGAGAAGTTGTTAAAGAAGGTTGTTGAGAGTTCCAGAGAAGTACTTAAAAAATAATTTAGATTGAGACTTTCACATTAGTATTTAAATTAAAAATTGCTGTGGATTGGATGGTTTCAAAGCAATGAACACTGGTGAACCCATCCAATCCACAGCTACTGGACGATGGCCCTGTTCTGTTTGTAAAGCTTGTGTAGTTAACAATTCAATCAAGTGTCTGCAGTGTAACCAGTGGTGTCACAAACGTTGTTCAAAAATAATTGGTACTTTATCTAAAGTGTCCAATTTTGTTTGTCCTGCTTGCATCAATCCTCAACAACAAATTCAAAATAGCACTGTTTTTGAAGCCATCAAGGTAGAGAAAGTCACATCGTTTCAATATCTAGGGGATGTTCTGGATTGTACTGGAACAGCTGAAGCTGCCGTTTGAGCATGCATACGTGCAACCTGGAATAAATGGCATCTCCTTGCCTCTTCATTGATGCGGCGTGACATCCCACTACCATTACGATCAAGACTTTATAAATCTGTGATACGTCCGGTGTTGTTATATGGTGCAGAAACATAGCCAATGACAACCAAACTGAAACAACAACTTCAACGAACCGACATGAAAATGCTCCGATGGATGCAACGAATTAGTCTGAAGGACCACATCAAATCTACCGAAATCTTGCGTCGTGCTGGTTTAGATGATATAAAGGACGAATACCGGCAACATCGACTGCGGTAGTTTGGTCATGTCAAACGAAGTGGAAACAGTGCCATAACTTCTCTTGCAGATGTTGAAGTACCTGGAACACGTCCCAAAGGCCGTCCAAAGAAGTCCTGGACGCAAACAATCGAGCAAGACATGAAAGCTCTAAATTTAAATGAAATGGATACAACTGATCGTCTAATTTGGCGCAAAAAGTTGATGGCAAAGAAAACAACGTCCTACCTCGGGAAACCGGGTCTCTGGACGCAAAACGAAGATTGATTGATTGATTGATTGATTGATTGATTAACCTGAAACGACAGCTTATATAATTTATTTATTCCAATGATGTTGAGACACAAAAATAGGTAATTAGTATACATTAAGTGATGGAAATCGCACACATCTCAAAATAATAGATCTGTCTAGACGTCTAGGAAGGGCAACAACCCAAGACATAGCGACCTTGATATCTCGTTTTCTTATTTTGACTCTGTCATTTGTTTAATGAAACGGGTGTCTTAGCCAGGAATGCGTAAGATAAGATAACGCTAAGATTGTCATTCCTTCATTGGAGTTATTAGCCACGTTCATGAGAAACATTTCCACCTCACCAGACATCAATATTCTTCAAAAGATAATTTTTGAAAAATCTTTCGTCATAATTTTTTTCTTGAAAAAATTGAAAAAATCAGGTTATGCTTATGGGTTCGCGTTCAGTTCTAATGTTTTTTGATATCTTGACTCATGAAAATTATAGCAAAACCATGCACTTTAAAACTCTGAAGCAAAAGTTAGCGCCAAATTTTTGTGTGGATGTCTTGTTAGTAGAATCATTTATTGGAATGCTTGCGGAAATCGCTTCAACAAATGTAATTTAAAAAAACTAGCTCTGTCGTTGTTGAATTTGATCTTGGATTTTGTTGAATCATAGAATAAAATGTAAATGATTGTACACATTCATTTTGACATGGAATGAATATATACATATTTATTTTTTTATTTTAGATAGAAAATAGGTTTGGGTTTTCATCTGACATTCAAAAGTGGTTTGTCGAGGAACGTCTCCTTGAGAATGATGAGCTATTGAATGACATTGGTTCAAACGTATTACATTTGTATTTGCTTAGTAATTATTTGTGAAAATGTGTGTATGCTGAAAATAACATTTCTTTTCATGTAAATTAATAAATATTTATATAATGCAAATTAAAAAAATAAATTTTATCAGATGCATTCATCAAATAAAAAGCATACAAAATTTTGTCTTTTTGAAAACAAATTTTAAGCTACATTCTTAACGCTAACAAATTCCAACTTGGATTATGTAATTGGTTTGTGAGATTGTTCCATATTTTAGAATCAATGGCAAAATTTCTGGCTTTGGAGCTTCTTCTTTTATCTACCAATATCGTTTGTATGTAATCCATATTTCGGAACTACAAAAAGCAGTTAATTATAACAGTAAGCAGCACAAACATGAAAAAATTATTTATTCAATCGATAAAATTGACATAATTTGGAGAAACCATAACGATATTTCTGTGGTACAATTTATCACCGCAACACAATTACCTTTTTCCAAGTTCAGCTGCATAGTAAGTCAGATTTTGTATCTTGAATGATGTTAGAAACGTGTACCGATAGATAACTTGACTTAATTTTTTTAGAATGTGTGAAAGAAAGAGGGTGATTATTTTTGGGATATGCTGTGTTTATATTGGTGATTAATGATGCTTTGTTTTAGAAATTAAATTAAGTTCGTCTCCTTTTGGCGGGTTAAATGAGTATGTTAAACAGTGGTTGTAAATAAACTTTAGGTGATATAGAAGATGAATGTGATGATTTGTAGAACCGAGGATTTTTACCGGACCCGATAGACCTCCGTTAACATGTGCAGGACACTGGTGTAAACTGTTGTTGATGACGATTATTACTGGTTGATTTTGATAGTGGAAATTTTTCATTTTGAAGTTACCTGCGCCGATTATTATAATGGGTGTTAGCGGCTATGCTACTCATGCATTCGGTAAAATTTATAATGGGAAAAACTCGGAACGGCGGTACCATGAAATATCACTAGCAAATCACGAAAATGCTATCCTATAATGGTTTAAGAAAAGTTTATTTTATATTTCACCGATGGAGTTATGACAATTTTACTAAATATAATGTGCATATTTTGTATATATTTAGTTAAAAATATATATTTTACTGTATATATATGTGTGTCTGTATATGTGGATATATATATATATATTGAATTATATATATATATTTGTGTAGATAAATGCGTGAATTTTTAAGCGCGCAATTTTATAATTTACTGATTTCACTCACGGGTCATGCCAGGTGGCGTTTAAACGCAATAACAATACAGGTAAGACTTGTTGAATTCCATGGATATATGATTATATATCCATGTTGAATGCAATCGAATAGAATAGTTATTTCGCGTCGTTTTAAAGATCTTATGAAATGATGTTTTAATTATTTTTCAACAAAGGCTTTGTTTTGCCGATAATCGTGATAAAAAAAAACTTTTTATTAAATATAATTTTTGTTTGGAAACTGGTTTTTATGAAATTGTTTTAATTAATTTTATTATTAATCGTTATAAAATTAGTAATCGATTTAATTTTAATTTTTATAATAATATTAAATCAAATTTAGTGAATGACTAATAATTTAATTTAATTTTAATTCAGGTTAGTGTCAGGTTAATGATCAATTTGTCATTTTAATATAAGAACAACCTCTCTTTAGTTTTTAAAATTTAATTTTGTGTTTAACTTACATTTAAGATTTAATCAATTTTAGGAAACCAATTTTCTTACATTTGTTTTACTAAAAAATTTAAGTTATTTAATTTATTTGATTTACTATTGTTATTGAAATTGGTATTTTTATCATTCTAAAGGTTTTATGAACTGAAGATAAAAATTTAACATTTGAAATGGGAAGAAAAACTCATGGTCCGTACCTGGTGGCAGCTATAGAATTAAATGATATTAAAAAAGTGAGTGATATTTTATCAACAAAGTTTCGAGATAAATCCAAAGTGAAAACTTTTCTGGCTTCTGAAGTCAAACGTTTGGCTTCTGACTATTCTGAAGTGCCTTTGTTACTGGCTGCTAGTCTTGAGGATCCTACAATCATTAAATATATGGTTCAAAAACATGATGCAAACATTAATTATATTCATGAATACGGATTTCAAAAGCCAAAAAAACGTAAATCTGCACTTTTGGTTGCTGTTAAAAGAGGTTTATATGGAACAGTTGATGCTATAATAAGTTTAAATGCTGATGTGAATGTACAAGACCACAAAGGTAGAACTCTACTGCATCATGCTATTAAAAGAGCAGATTATAGAATGGTCAAACTACTTTTATCACGTGGTGCGCAGGTTATGTTGAATGATATTAGTGGAAATTCACCACTTCATGTTGCTACAATATACGGACATTCAGAATTGATTAAATTGTTGCTTAAATATGGTGGGGATCTGTACAAAAAAGGTCAATATGGAGCAATCCCAATACACATTGCAGCCAGGGAAGGACATTTGAGTATTGTAAAACTTTTTTATGATTCTTATGAGGTTAATCCTGATATAAAAGTCCCTTGTTATGATGAACTTGAAAAGTCTCCATTGCATGTTGCAGCTTCCCAAGGTAATGCCGAAACAGTCTACGTTTTATTAACATCTTGTGCAGCAGATGTAAATTTAAGAGATTCTGAAGGTAGTACAGCATTGCACCATACAGTTCTAAATGATTATGATCCTTTAGGAATGAAATCAAAAGATGATTATGCTGAAACAGTTAAAGTTTTATTGAATGCTGGAGCTATTGTAAATTTTCAGAATGGAAGAGGAGAAACAGCTTTGCACTTGGCAGCAAGGAGTGAATTTCAAAAAGTTATTGAAATTTTAGTTCTTGCTGGCTGTGATCCATTAATTGAAGATAATGACAAAAATAGAGCTTTAGATTTAGTAACAGAAGATGATACAGTTTCAAAACAAACGCTCAAAAATGCAATTACAAATAGAGATATGATAATGCACAATTCAGCAGAGGTAAGATCCTATGGTTTCCAAACCAATTTCAGTCGGGGAGCTCTGGCTACAACTTCTAACAAATCTTTTTCATTATTAAATATGAATGGAACACACAATTTAAATGCCAGTAGAATATTAACGCCTAGTTTTGGTAGTCAAAATATTTTTCCTCATAGCATGGCTAATGTTTACCAGGGATCACACAGTTCATCAAACAGCAAAGAAAGTATGCTGAGTGGATCGAAAATTTTACCAAAAAAATCACTGAAAGATCAGGTGTTATATAACAACACAAGAAGAGCTAAGTCAGTTGAAGATCTTGATCATAAAAATAAAACGAGGAAACATAATCACATTTCATCCAAAAAATACCCGAGAAAAAACAGTTACCAAGAAAGTGAGGCCACCAGCATGTGGAGCGTTACACCTCCAGGTTCCCTTCAAGATTTGAGTAAGAAAAAACATAGAAATAAAAAAATAAGAAAAAATCCTGAAACTATAATCGAAAACTATGAATATGATAACAGTAGTCTTGAACGTAATCCTAAATACAGTAGACATAAAAAAGAGGATGAATTTTCAATAGGTAGTGAGGATTATTATTTAGATGATGAATCTGTTGAAATGTTAGATAACAATGCTATGAAATCTTCAAAATTTGTAGAAAAAGATCGTGTTGCAAGATGGATTGAAAACCAGAAATCTGGAAAACGAACAAATGACTACAACAGTGATTCAGAAAGTAATTCTGGTTCATCATCATTATACAGCAATGAAAGCAGCGATGATTATAATCATCAATCACCAAATAAGCATGGTGTTCAAAAAACTAAATCGCCAAACAAAAAAAACAAATCTATTGAACAGGTTATTGAGTTGGATGTGACAGGAGATGATGACCATACTACCATTAAAGTTATTCCAATTCAAGAAAGGCAGAAAACGCGCAGATATTCTGGCAGTAAAACAAACCAACCACCTGAAAAACCTATCAAGCAAACCGGGAATACGGAAGAACCAAGTTTAAAATCTTTAGCAGAAAAACCAACACCAAAAAAACGAACCAATGTAACAAAAAATTCTGACACACAAAACTCGGTTGTGAGCAACGATAAAATCAATAAATCAGATAACTCTAAAACGGTATCACAAACAGTTTCAAATTCTAAAAAGATTGATAAGCCTAATATTCTAAAAAAGACTGGCACTCTGGTGTTTACTAAAGCTTTAGACCAATCATTAGATAATTTGGAGCATTCAAACTTGGCAAGAATATCTGCTGGCGATTATGCAATTCCAGCTAAACCAACCTACTCATCAATAATTTCGCCAGCTCTTTCTAATACTTATTTAGAAAACAGTTCTAAAAGTCTGCAGCTAATTCATTCAAAATTGAACATTTCAGATAATTACAATGACAATTCTTTGAGCAGATCATTTGATGGATTTAATGCAACAGATGCTAAATCTTTTCAGACACATCTTTCAAGAACTTCGGAATTAGGAGAATCCAATAATGATGATGATACTGATATTCCAAATACTCAACGAATTGTTTCTTATTCTTCTGACGGAAGCTTGCCTTTTACCATAATTGGTGGAAATGAAGTTGGAATTTATGTGGATTCTATTGACAAAAATTCATCTGCATTTAAAAATGGACTTTCGCTTGGAGATAAAATAATAAAAGTAAACGAACATTGCATTAGTAGAAATACAAAGGAAGAAGTGGACAATTTACTGAGGCAAAATTTTAAAAATACCACACTTGCTGTCATAGAAGATAATAAAAAATATATAACACTTGATCCAAATTTAGGGGGAGATTCACTTTATGTAAAATCATATTTTAAAAGTGATGCAAAAAGGAAAACTGACTTGTGTGTTTATCCTGGTGATATTTTTCATGTAGTTGACACGTTGCCTCAGGGTAATCCAGGTTTTTGGAAAGCTAAACGAATTAATTCTAAACAAATAGAATCGGAAGAAGGTTTGATACCAAATCAACAAAGAGCCGAACAACAAGTATTAAAAGAAAAATTATTGAGTAACGATTTTCATCCTACAGAAAGAGGTGGAACATTTTTTCGCAGTTTTCGAAGATCCAAGTCAAATGACAGAAACAGTAGAGATAACACATCTGCAAGCATTGATGGAAACGAAAGTTTTTCTGCAAATATACCCATTGTTTATGAAAGGGTGGTGGCCAAGAAATCTAAAATTCGAAGACCAGTTGTAATATTAGGACTTTTTTGCGATGTAGTAATTAAAAAACTGATTAAAGAAAATCCCATCTTGTTCAATAAACCTGAGGATTCAGTGGAAACTAATAATCCCGAATGCCCATTGAAAATTGAAATCATTGAAAAATCGTTAGAAGATTTGAAACATTTGTTAATCATATTATCTCCTCCCTCTGTAGAATATATGCTGAGAAACACAAATCTTAATCCAATTGTAATTTACCTTTCACCAGTGTCTCCAGCTGTAGTAAAAAGTGTTAAACTGAAGTTAGCACCGAATTACAAGAAAGATGTAAATTACATGTTTGAAGAGGCCTCGAAGTTTGAAAAAAATTTTGCAAGTCTTTTTAGTACAGTAGTAGCCTATACGACAGATGAGTGGTGGTATCATAATTTGAAAGAAGCAATAAACGCTGCTCAGAAAATGCCAGTCTGGCAAGCAGTTAGCAAGAATGGATTGAATAAAATTAACGAAGAAAAACTTTCAAATGGAACAAATGTTTTGAGAAATGATAAAAACAAAAGACAGAATCAAGCTAATCGAGTATCGCACACAACTGATGATCTGCCAGAAATAAGAATTGAGTCAGAACGGCATGAAAGCAGCGGTAAAAACAAAATTACTTCATCAACGAATCAAATGAATGTCAAACCTGAAATAAAACAAAAGCCAAAATTTCAAGCCAAAAAGGTAGTCAACTACAGTGTTCCGGTGAGTGAAATTTAATTGGAATTAACTTTGATGTTTCTTGCTTTTGATAAAAATTTGAATTTTTAATTTTTATCACTTTATTCGCATTGTCAAATATAAAAAATGTCTCGAAATAAAAATTTGAGGTTTTTATAATTTAGGAAAATTTCGATTAGCATTAATATTTTTAATTGAAGCTAATATTTAGTAGCTCCAAATTTATTAATCTCTTCTAATTTGTATTTATGCACAGTCTAATAAATACTTAAGATTTTATCCATTTAATAAAAATAGAGTTTATCTGTCTCCTACTGTTTTCTCAACATGGTATAGCAATTAATCGCTAATACGTTGTCAGGTTTATTTCATCATCCTGTTTTATTATTCTTAACTTATTCATCAAATCCTAGTTTCCTCTCTTTCTAATCTGCCCCTTGACACCTTTCTTGAAAATCAACCTGCATTAATACTTCAATAATTTCTTTGGATGGTTATCACCTAGCCCAAGGTTGTAGAAGGCGTTTTCCGAACCTCTGCATTCTAATGGGTTTATGACTGGATCTAGTTTATGTAATGGTAATAATAAAATGAATATATAGATAATCACACATGCATACACATATGTATTGAGAGAGAGAGAGAGAGAGAGAAAGCTAGGGAGAGGTTGAAATTAGAAATCGATAAGTATTTGAATACAAAAAGTTTTCCAATCGTTGTTCATATAATCTAAATAAAATTAATTTTTTCAGGCACACGAGACGCCCTTGTAAAGAAGAAGTTTAGAGCAATATTTTGGACAATTTCATTTAATGTTCACAATAACTGTATCTAAAACAACCGGCTGAAAAGATAACACAATTTTATTCATTTTTTGGTTTAAACTTTATTATGATTTTTGTGTTTTGTATTTGCGTAGTTCATTATTCCAGTTAACAGCACAAAATATTTAATTTCATTTTACAAAAATTATAAGGTTTTATTTTAGCTAGTTGTGATCAATGTTGATATGTTTTTATTGTGGAACCATGACTATGACTGAATCCGAACTCGTTATCATTTATTTTTAAAGGAACTATATTTTATGTAACGGATTTTTCGGTTTATTTTTTAAGTTATAAATATTTTTATTATGCATTTTAAAATTTACTGTAACTTCTTTAATGTAATATGAATTTGTCATGACATTAACAAGAGTATAGCTTAATACTCCAAATACTTTCTTAATTTTTTAAATTGTATGTATTTGAGTTAAATGTAGAATAAAAATTGTCACAAGAAAGTGTATGATCCAGATACATTTTAATCCCCTGATAATTGTCGAAGAATGTTTTTAGTACACTACACAACTCGAAATCGTTCTCTTCTTTTGATGTGGTGTTTGCTGCGCTACCGCACATCAACCATGTAACGCTGATTTTTATTTTCCGCTATTTATTATGATTTTGTAGCGAAAGAACACAAGTGGCAATATGCGATCAGACAGCCTAGAGTTTTCTAGAATTGGTTATGAAAATAAAAATTATATTAATGAACACCGCGATAATATGTAAAAAGTTGTCTTGTGTGGCGATGTTCTGACGAGCAATGACAATTCTATTTTTGATTTTTGTGGTACTTATTAGTTGTTAACAGTGGCGGATCTTTTTTTTTAATTTTGACGGTTGGCCAACATTTGTGGTAGTATAGCCAAAATTAGAGTGGCAACCTTTTTTCGATGTAAAATGGTGTTTTTTCTGTGCAAAACTGAGTTTTACTGACTTTGACGTAAATGCCGCTCATGGAGTATTTATATTGTTGGTAACTGAAGCTAAAAGGCATCTACAGAAAGGGTGGTAGGCAAGTGTTTCCAATGGCGATTTGCCCAAAGCACTTATTAAACAAACACCACATAAAAGCACAGTGAGGTGCAACCGGTTTGTGACCGGTTTTTTACATTTTGAAAGAGTTGGATTCTTTATTCTGACAAATCGGATGATAACGCAACCATTATAATCAAGAAAGGGATACGACCTTGGTGATATCTAACTTTATTATGCATCTTTCGGGCCCAAACACTTGCTTATTTAAATAAACGGCTGACTTCGGAAGATACAAAATAAGATTAGAAAATACCGAGGTTAACATGCCTTGATTGTAACTGGTGCAGGTAACCTCAAGATAGTTAGGAAGCCAACACTATGTTCAAATTGTTAAGAAAATATTTCTGAGTTAAATACGATTATTTATAACGTTAACAACTACTATATCATTTTTACCATTCGTCACATAAAACTAAATTTAACCAAGACTTCCATTTTTCTCTAACATTCAGAGGCAGGAGGTGCACACCTAAAATTTCGTAATAGAAGTTGATTGTTTTCGCATTATTCGATGTTACACTATACGACAAACGTTGACTTTTTTGTTACTTGGACGTCTAGTCTTTGACGTGTAACATCTCGTTTGTTTCAAAATAGTCTTTCTTTTAACAAATTTTTCGTTTTATTTTTTTACAAAACATTTTTTAAAACCTCTACTTTAGAAAATGCCTCAGTTTAATAAATACTCTGCCTACTGTTCTAAGGCACAACAATTAGCTTTAAAATCTTATTTATCTCTTAGCTCATGCTATTCAATGAAATATGTAACGACGTTTTTAGGCTTTCCTTTTCCTCTGAAAATTATCAAAATGAAAACAAACTAACATTTACGCAATAAAGCATCAAAACATATATGTCTTATCTTACAAAACACAATTTTAAAACAATTAAACCACAAATGGTTAATGAATGGTTATGTTAACAACATAATCCTAAAGACACTATCTTTAAAACTAATAATCTATTTCAGACCTGTAAGCATTAGATAAATTATTATTTAATGGCTTTGAGTACTAGAAATAAATGCGACGATTTCAATCCTACGACATTTCTTGCATAAAAGTTAATACTGTTGCTAACCAAAATAACAAAAAACCACAGACACTCAATAGTGCACATGTGCTTCAAAATAAATTAACAAGCCGGTTCTCAGTTGATAAGAATCCATTTTAAAAATTACTTTCACTTGTGCAAATGATGATGAAAAGATTATAACAACATATTAACCTGCCGATCTAGTATACCTAATCAAATTATTATTTAATTATTATTCACATTATCATTGAACATAACTACTTATTAACAATTAATAATTTCTTCAATTCTAGTTACACAACCATTTACGAATTCTTAATTTAAATAATCAGCAAAAAATAAGTTAACTAAGTAACTGCATTAAAATTATTAATGCTTCCAAATCCGTCTAGTCCCAGTTCAGTCAACTGTTTGATGGCGTTCGTAGCAGCAGCCCTCTGAGATTCTTCCACTGTTTTGCCCTCTCCGTGAGAGTGTTGAGGTGGCTTCGTAGTTAACGTCACCAACGAGAGGAACTTGCAACATGATTCAACTGTCTGTCACAAATTTGTGTTTAGTGGTTGACGGAAATGTAAATTTTAATCAAGGATTTAAGGATAATAAAAAATAAGAAGGGTATAAAAAATGTAAGCTCCTGTTGCACTAATTCCTAATAATATACTTATTAAGTATTCAGCCGGACTAGAAATTGAAGAACAAATAAAAACATTCAAATTTCAAACCATTTAAATATTGTCAGCTTTACCATCTCAACTTGATTATTCTTGTTACTTAAATTCTTAAATTTTACAACATTTGTAACCTTCTTAATTAATAAATGCCGCTAAAATACATTCAAAAATATCACTGTGCAGAAGAATATGTTAGAATGGAAATACTTTTGGAATATCTTTGAATTGTACAAGAAATCCATAAGATCTGCCAAGATACTGAAGTTGTTCTATAGGGCAGATGAACATGGAATTTACTGAATTAGGCATATCTAGAGAATTAAACAATTTAATACTTTTAAAATAATCTTCTTTCAATTTTAATTTAAAATTTCAATTTAAAACTTTCAATTTTCAAATTTGAAATTTCAAATTGAAGTTGAAATTTCAACTTTCAATTTAAAAATCTTAAATTTAAAACTTTAACTTTATTTCATCACTTTTTTGACAAAAGTTACAAGTTTCATCACGTTATAATTGCTAATAAACTTCAACAGCCTAATGGATAAAACAATTTAATACATAAATAAATTAGAATAAAAAAGATATTCACATTAGAAAATGTGTGAGGTTTCATTGCAATAACAAATGCTAGAATGAAAAAACAAAATCATAAAACAAAAAGAAACTTACTAGATGAAACTAAATTCACTTGTGTTATGTCATTGAACGTAACTTTCTTTTCCGGGTTCTTATTGGAAGTTGTCGTTTTTGTTGTGTTTATACAAGGTTTAGAGAACCCCAGTAACAACAGCATGTTCTCAGAAGCCATCTTCTTTGCTAATTTTTTACTTTTTGCACTAGCAGATGATTGTTGATTCCCAACGGTGACCTTACAATTTCAATTAGTTAACCAAATCAATTTATATTTTTATTCAGTTTCAGACAACTATTTTACTTGAGTATCATGATACCTTGCAATGAATTTTTATTCATCAACGAATCATATAAGAAATGTCATTTTGATATTGTATAGAAATCAAAAAGCATATAAAAATACGAGATGTTAAAATTGAAAACAAATAATAAAGCAAACAAGAAATAAAGATTCGATAAATTTGGCCAATTAAATTGATTAGAAGTGAAACCTGAACACAAAATTCTCGATCCCTTCCACTGCCCTTTTCTGTTGTTAAAAACTGTGGTTCCTGTTCTTTCTTGGCTTGCAATATTTGGATGAGACGACTCACTGGGTTCATATCAGCCGCACAATCAGGATTTGGCTTCTGCACCTGAGGCAAGTATAAACATTAACCACACGTAATTTAAAAGTATGATGATACTTTTGCAATCAGCGCATGTTAAAATGAATAAGGATTAGATAATTTTAGAAGGCAATCAATCAAATTAGTATAAGTAGCACCCTCTCTAAAATATAAAAACACTCAGCACCAGCAAAATAAATAATAATGCAGCAAGAATCAGTTCATCCTTTCCTATTAATAACACTTTGCAGCTCAATTGGAAAAAACTTAGAGTCATGCATCCCAACTCATATAACCATGTAAATCACAAAAAAACATTCAACACGATTGAAAAACAAAAGTGAAACTCAAAGTAAACTAAACTAACCTTCAAGTTTTTATTCGTTTTGTGTTTATTGAAAAATTTTCTATAAGGTTTATCATTTGATTGCTCGTTTAAATGGACAGGCAGTGGAGGCAGTTTGTTTAATTCTTGAAGCATTTTGATGGCAGATTGTTTCTTAGATGTCTTCTTACTGTTTCCTCCTTCCTCCACCATCAGATCACCACATGTGCACCTCGTTATATACAGCTTCATGTGAGGTGGTCCCGATTCTTTTACAACCTGCATGTGCAACATAAATTTATGTTAACATAACATCATTCAAAATCGTACTGTGTTGCATTTTTACATAAGATCAATTCTAATTTCAAACTAGAACAAAACCAAAACTAAAAACAGTAGTTGTGCATGGCAATCCCATACACATTTTAAAATGAGACAATTTTGAATTTATAAAATGCTTAGGTTGTCGACATGTTGTTTCAACAGTTATAAGTGATGTAAGCCTAATCTTGCAGAACAACATGAAATTTCATATAATTAGTATTATTGTATTGGCAAAAATTTGTTATAGAAAACATTAATAAATAGATAAAAAAGTTAACTTTGAAAAACCTCAAAATTAACTGTGAACTTCCGCCTGTATGCTACCTCATAAACTTGACTTATTTCAGACTTCAACTTCACGTTTTTGGAATCTGAAAAAAATTATCATCATTGTAGTAGATAATAAATGATAATGATAGATTTAATATTTTACTGAAAATATAATCTTATAATGTTAGGTCCGAAACCAAACATTGTTTTAAAAATAATCCAATTTTGATTTTTCATTTCTTTTGGTTGAATTTTATTTATATGATTTAATTTCAAATTTAATAAAAATCTATTTTTCACGCCCACTAATTTAATGTACAAAGCTCCTCTTAAAAACGTCCTGTGATTTTCTTTTAGGTAGAATTAGTATGTTTTAGAAATAGCTGTTGAATAATTTGTTATAGAACTTGTTTAAATCTGACAAGTTTCATATGTGCGTGCATGGTATTGTTGTTGGGCTAACATTGCTTCGACAATTTGTTATTCTTGTAGATATTAAAGTTGTAAGCATGAAATGAAATGAAAGTTAATAAAATAGAATAGTGAAAAATAATAAAGATAAAATAATATAGGCTTCAGAACAGAGTTGTACTTTATACTTGTCTAGTGAGAACATCAATCATAATCTGTAAAATTTTATTATTTCATTATTTATACTCTAGAAAATATCACAGTGACGTGTGAGTATATATTTGAGGTTGAGAGCTTGAAATGAATACCATGATTCAGCAAGTTAAGCTGTTTCAAACATACTAGAACTAAGAAAAGAAGTTAAGAAACACGGAACAATAGGAATAGGAAAGATGGAAGCAAAAGGACACAAGTCCTGACATGGTGAGAAGCAACTTGAACAACTTAACTGTATTCAACATGTAAACCGATATAAAGAAAAAATTTTGTACCATTCTGATTTCTTTTTTTTTTGTCTGTTTTAATATTCCCAAACATTGCTTAACTTAAATATCTAAAATATCTTTGCAATTATATCACACTGTTTTTAAGCTGTTTATCTAACCATTCTTAGTGAACATTATATATACCACAAGCACATTTATTCATTACTTTTCGGAATATTGAAGATTTATTTCGATTAAAGTTCCTCCTGAAGGCATAAAAGTGAAACATGTTTTTAAATTAACGAATTTTATTAAAATTCTATCAAACCGTTTGAAGTAGTTTCATCTTTTAAATTCTCATCTTTTGAAAATTCCTTAGCAGCAGTCTTTCCAGATAATTTTTTTTCACAACTTTTTGTTACTAAATCTTCTGCTTTCAAAACAGCAAGTGCTTTGGAAGCAGCATCATGCCTGGCATTCATCATCGAATGACCTTCACCTAATAGAAACAAATGAAAGAAAGTTGAATTAAAAATTTATTCAGGCAATAAAACTACAAAATTCATGCCTCTGAAAGTCCTGGATCCAATGCTAACCTCAACTTCAAAAGCAGCACTCCCACTGAAATGTAACAATACATAATAATAATAATAATAGCCGTAGCACTGATCTCAGATTGTAGCATCTCCAAAAGACTAACAGAATAAGATAAATATTTTTTCTATTCTAAAAAATAAAAACAACCTTTTTATATGGACAATATCCTGATTTTCCATTAACTTGCGACCCTTAAAACCACCAACAACTTTATAAGCTGCTACTTCACCGGTCTTCATCGCTATAGAGTTCAATTCAACTGTTGGTGTCAAACTTGGATTGACTTTCTCTAAGAATTGGAAATTAAGAAATAATTTGTCATGCTATTACTATCCAAAAAATTAAAATGAATGTGCCAAAAGTAATAACAGTAATAAAAAAGACATTATCATTACTATTGAAAATATTATTATTCTTGTTATATTGTTATAACTAAGCATTCACAATAGATGATCTACTTTGGAATGGATTAAAAGATCCGAATTAAAATGAAATAAATACTGTTAACAGGGTGAGGATGTTTTGCACTCCTCAAAGGAGGGGAGGGATATTTGGTGTTTACAAGAGCTTCAGCTGCTGCAGCATGTTGCGCTTTTTTAATACTTTGCCCAGTTGCTGTAAATTCTTCAACTCCAAATTTTAGTTGAACTTGGAAAACCTAAAAAAATAAAAAAAAAGAACAGATCAACGTGAGTAGGTGCAATAAAAATCATGCCAATTTATCATGAAAAATACAAAAGAATTGCAACAAAAAAATCAAATCGTAGAAATTAATTGAATAATTGTGTGTTTGCTTGTTTGTGTTCTGGAAGTGAAAATCATAAACCTTTTTATGAGCTGGTCCTTCTTCACTTATTAAGTTATACGATGGTGTTATCTATATGTTAATGATGAAATACCACTTTAAAAATAGAAGTAATATAATGGTTAAGAATATTATTCAATTGTGGAAAAAAATACAGCTACATATATATAACATAAATTTCCTAGATACTTCAACACAGTAACTCTATATAGTAATAATATATCATTCTGATTTTTATTTAGTCTATCAAGACAAAGTTCTGGCTTATTTGCAAGAGTTTCTTTCACAACAGGAAGTTGAATCACCTTTGATACTTTTCTTAATACAAAGAGTAGAAAGATAGAGATACTATAAATGAATTGGCACCAATTTTGCAGAAAATAGAGGAGACATTTCAAGTACTCAGCAGCAATCTGTGGAGAAAAAAATTTGCATACCTAAATAACCTACGTGGCTAACCTAAAATTAGTGTAGTAGTCTAAAACGTAACCTTCTATAACTGATTTCTTAGCTAGATGAGTTTTTAAAATGTGATTTCCAAAAATAGTTATTTACAACAAAAAACTGTGTGGAAATGACAAAACAAACCTTATTGAATCTTGCAAGTTGATTGACCAAACACATTGAAGATTTTTCTTTTGGACTGCCTTATAAAATAAATTTCTATCATTATCTTAAACCGTCCACTCACAAAGAAATGCAAAAAATAAATTACTTACTGTTAGCTTCAACTCCACGATCACATGATACATCTGCACTTTTTGAGCACTCCTGCATTGTCTTATTGATATTCAACTGTCTGTTCTTCACCCAGTGAATATTACGAGGTTTATTTTGAAAAGAAATAAATCTTGACTGGTTGAAGTTGTTCAAAAAGTTTCTTTCATTTTGGCCAATTAAATTGTATCCATTGAATGAATTGTATCTTGGATTAGTGGCCAGAACTTTCAGCATATTAAATTGTTATGTGCATTATTTCATTAATTAATTAATCGATTAATTAAATAATTAATGTAATAAATTAAAACTAGCAAAAAATTAAAACTCATAAAAAAAATGAGAAATTTTTTTGTTTACTGGCATCTTTCTTTTAAGCATTTAATTAAAAAATACAATTTCAAAGTAATCAGTGCAAAGACTATTGCCATTTTATTTCTTCTTCCATGTCTAAACTCATTAAAAAAACTTTGTAGCCAACTATTTTCAATGTTTGAACTGATGACAAAACAAAATGATAGAAGTTGTAACTTTTTAATATAGCTTGCCTTATGAGGATTTGTTTAACAATATGACAACATTATTATTAATTAAAGATTTATTTACTATATATAATTATTATTCAAATAACATTAGTAACCATCTATGAAATAGAAAGAATCAAATGAAAGGTTAGATTTTAGAAGCAAATTGTTCATGCATTGTTAATATTTAGCGAGGACATAGCTAAGTTAAATTGTATGGTGTAAATGCTTCACCTCAACTAGCACATAGAACATGATAAAAAAAAGGTGGCACTGTTAAAACTAATGTAAGTGGTTTTGTTTTTCTCATGCATAATCTAAAGATATACTGAAATCAAAATGTAAAAAAAAGCAACCTACTTTGGTTAACATTGTTGAATTGCTCTGTTGCTACAAGGTACTCATCTTGCAGACTTCTGAACATCTGAATAAACAGACAAAAGATAAACAAGTTGAAAAAAGTTTAACACGTTAAAAAAACTTCTAACTAAACTTTATTAGACTCTAATTAAATAAAGGTTTCTCTCTCTCTTTTGCATTTGCTTCAGAGGTTTCAACAACAAACACACTCAGCGTATATCAATCAATCAATCGTATATGAATAAACGCGCAAACCACGCATCATACACATTGCATATGATAGGCGGGGATCTCTTTGTATTCAAACCCAGTCATTGCAATAGCAAGACCAGGCGCCTTTAACCATTGAGCCATCAACCAGTCTTATGGCCAAATGGTAAATCCTCATCCTGTTTGTATATAAGTAACATGAAACTTTTGAAATAACAAGACTTATTTTATTTAAAAGTCAATCTTAAAAATAAAAAATAATAAAAAAAAGTTTAGCACATTCTTTTAGAAAAATCTATTATGTACAAAATTATTAAGAAGGTATAAAAATAAGCAGAATAAGAATATGAAAACTTTAATAAATAAATAAATTTATGGTTTTAGAACTTTCAAATTATATTAAAATTTTAATATGAATAAAAAATAGAATTATAATAATTATATTACTTGATAAATAAACAAATAAAAATAATTCTGTTTGCAACTAATACCTAATAATAGTAATAAAGTAATTATTTAATTTTAGCTTTAATTGTAAATTAAACCAAATTTTGTTATAATATTATTAATAAATTAGTTAATCAATAACTTAGTTTTACTTTTAGTCTGTCAATTTTCAATTAACAAAAAAACTTTAAAATAAATTTAATTAAAAATTGCAAATTTCAAAAAAGCGAACTTATAGCGGGAAAGATGAAATGTCACAGTAAACAAAAGTCAACGAGCAGAAGTTAGAAGATCAAAATGGAAACTTCACAAATTCAGAAAAATTAAAAATCGGCCACCGACAACATACTAGCGTTTGTTCGCAATTTGTTGCCAATCGAGCGAAGTTTTTTTTTCATCGTGACGTATGCGGACGCGTTTATTATAATAATAACAGTATAATTGTTTTGTTGATTTGGAATTACATTAAAAACAAATAGAGAAAACGGTGCACACATGTTTTATGTTATTTATAAGTAATATATATATATTAATAAACATACAAACATCACAAACACATAAATATAATTATCGTCATAGTTTGAATTCGAAGGCACTTTGAGGTTCATCCTAGGACGATCCACGAAATTTTCCAAAACAACGATGCCGCATTTTGGCAAGTATTCATTTGGCTCTTAATTAGTCTTTGACATAAACAATAATCGTCTAAATTTGGTATTCTTAGTACAAATCCTAATTATTCTATCATCCACGTTGTGTACCTATATCATTCCTTACTGTCCTTCTACCCCATTTTATTAATCTCTATAAATTGTGATACAGAAATAACTTCTTCGATGGCCAAATGCTTCACTTGTTGCTATGGTTGACCAAAAAAATTTTTCTATTTCTATTCTGACTGTAAGATAAGAGACCGTTCAGTATTTAGTTAACAAACCGCCATCCCTTACTTTAAACACGCCATCAAATAAACCATGGGAATGCAAACGTTACTTAAGTTATGAACACAAAACAAAAGCCTACTGTTTGACAATTTTTCTGTTATTTATGTATTGCTTCGTATATGCATTGTCAATATCAATAGTTATGGCATTATTAATAGAAATAATAATTTGTGGACTTTTGTTCATAAAACATCTTTTGAAATTAATTTGTTAGACACTGAACAACGTGCCCAGTCCATCAAAGCTAAGGAAGCATTTGTGTCAAAATTTAATCAACTGAAATCAGCTTTCGTCTGTCTATAATATTAACTTTTGACGCCAATGTATTTGGCTTTTCATTCTAAGTATTAGTATAGCTGGAACAGAATAGGACAATTATAGGAAAAGGGTTAGAAAAATGGAAACCAATGATCGGTGAAATGGACAGTAAAAACAGAACTGTGAAGGATTCCAGGTTTGCTTATGATATTCATCTATAAGAATAATCTAGTGTAGATAGCATACAGGTTGATTCAAATGATACATGAGGGCTGTAAAAATTATAGATTGTATATGAACAAAAACAATAGAAGCGTTGGTCTCAATTTGTGTACTTAGATATTTGAAATTGACGGAAGAATAGCCAGTGCACAAGAAATGTTTGCTTCGTTGGAAAAATGTTTTTATGGCTAAGGCTTCGTTGGAACCATGGTTGGAACTTTCGAATGCAAAAAAATCCCGCTAATCTCGTAATGGGACCGATGCGTGGATTCAAAGGTATTCACTACGAGTGAGTGTGTATGTCGTTAATAATAGCTCTGAGAGATAATTAATAATAATATAATAAGATTTATATAAACTACTATAAACTTTCTATCCATAACCTCCGGCAGCTGCTTTATTTCATTAATAAGGATTCAGTCAAGAGTCAAGGATTCAGACGTAAATTTTCTTCCTCTTCTTTTCTGGTTCGATTTTGTAACATCGGCAATAGTTTTACACTAGTGTTTGTTATTTTGCTAGATCTTTTGTCAACGGTGTGCGAGTAAGTCTGTGCGCCGGTTGCCGTTATCGTTGTTATCAACATTAGCAATTAGCTCAAAATTTAGGCGCGCCATTTCGTTTAGTCTTGTTGCTTTTTAAATTTTGGTCATGGAAGTCCCTCGATGTCCTTTGTGTAACATCGTTTTGAATCCAACGGATGCTGACGCCCATGTTAACATGTGCTTGTCCGAAGTAGAAAAAGCTGCAAGTATTGATAATGCGAATGCAAGTAACAGCTCCCCTAAATTTAACAAAAGCGTTTTAAAAAGAACCAACGGTTAGTGTAGTAATCAATAAAATTCTAAAATAATCAAATTATAAATTAACCATATTTTTTGTTACTTTGTTTTTTGTTTCATCACAAGAATTATAACTTATCAGTAACTAACTGTAAAGTTAAACATCATGTGATTCATTATAAATAATATAATTAGAATGTAATTATATAATAAATAATAATATATAATAAAAATATAATTATATATTATATAAAAATCATTTTTATCCCTAATCAAAATAAAAAAACAATGAAATGGCATCTATTGTTATTGCATCTTTTTTTTAAACTGTTTCAAAATAAAAAATATGTATTACTTGTGTATGTAATATAAGTCAAGACTAAGAGTAAAACTTATATAGAGCTATTATAAGGCTGTATCCAGTACTAATCACTTCACAGTAATAATAATATTAAGGTCTTTTTGAATCCAATCTTTTAAATTTCCAAAAATAATGATATTAATCAATGTATTACCAAAAAAATTATGAAATTGTTTCTAAATTTTCTTCATTAAGAAAGAAAAATAAAAGTTTTAGTTTACAAGTATGTACTTAGTTGTTGGAAATATAAATTTTAAAAATGAAGCAAATTTCATGTAATTATTACACAATTCAAAATTTCACAATCTTCAAACTTTGATTTCATAAGCTCATAAGCTAATTCAGAAAGTTTTAATAATTGTTAACATAAACCATTATTTTAAACTGCACTGTATTTTCATTAAATTTCACACAAGACTGGTCATTCATGAATTCTTCTTCCAACAAGAAAAAAATGATCTCAAGTAATTTATTTCACTGTTATCTATTCATTATATTTATTTTGTCTAATAACATCAAAAGTTTTTAATTTTTATTCATTCACGATAATATTAAATCTTTTTAAAAAAATCATTGCACTATTTAAAACTCATTCACAAATTTCATCTTTCATTTCCATTCTATTGATTTTATTTTAAAATTTTTTGTATGTCACGGAAGAAGTTCATTGCTTCATTTCAATTTTTTCTTAACTAATCAAAACCATTAAAGTTTTTATTAATCAATGTATTACCAAAAAAATTATGAAATTGTTTCCAAGTTTTTTCATTAAGAAAGAAAAATGAAAGAAAAAAAAAGAAATGAAAAAATTAACTATTTTTATTTTACTCATATTATTTGGAATGTAAATTTGTTTTCATTCTTATATTTTCTAATGATATTTATAATGTACAATAATTTCCACATGTGAATCACATAGAGAGTCCAACTATCAACAAAGATAGCCATGGAAAACAAGATAGAAAAGAAACTTCATATAAAAATGACCACAGTTTGCAAGCACCCTTGGCTGAAATCATGAGACCTGAAAATATTGAAAATTTTGTTGGTCAAGATCACTTGCTGGGTTCCAACAAAATGTTGAAAAGACTTCTAGAAAATAATTATTTATTTTCATTAATATTTTGGGGACCACCTGGATGTGGAAAAGTATTTTTTATTTTGCTTACAATGATCATAATTTTTCAACAGTCTATTAGTTGTAGTGAGTTAAATTTAGGTTAGCCTAGAACTCATTAAATTATTATCAATGTCAAAGCTATATCCATTTTTAATAAAATGATTTTTTGTCTGTGTTTTATACAAGTTTTTTATTAATTTCAAGACAACACTTGCAAAAATTATTTCAAACAATTGCACAAAAGAATCCAATACTTGGAGATCTGTACATCTTTCAGCCACGACCACTGGAATTGCTGATGTCAAAAATTATATAGACATTGCTAAGAATGAAAAAAGAATGACAAAAAGAAGAACTCTTATTTTTGTTGATGAAATACATAGGTTCAACAAATTACAACAAGTAAGCAAACAACAATATAATAATTTTCTAAATTTTTCAAGTGCTGATTTAATTTAATCTTTTCTAGCTGTAACTAATAAACATTACCAATAAGTAATTAACATTATTAAAATGTATTCAACAAATTCAAACAATCAATTATAATTAATTAATTAATCAGTCAATTATTTGCACGTACAGGATATATTTCTGCAACCTGTAGAGGATGGAACAATAATTTTAATTGGAGCCACAACAGAGAACCCTTCATTCTCTATTAACAACGCTCTCTTGAGTAGATGCCAAGTAATTCAACTTGAAAAATTGTCTGTTGAAAATTTGTTTTTGATACTTAAGAAGAGTGTCAATAAATATGGAACATGGCTAGTTTGAATTTCTAAATTTTTAAAGCTTTGAAATGATCATTTTTAATGTAATTAATAAAGAACTATGAATTTTTTGGTTGATACTTCAATGTACAATATTACATGAAGCTAGCTTGTACATATAAGAAAATTGAAAAAAAATTTATAACCAGTGAAAAACATTTTATGCAAAACAAGTAATTAAGATGGCGGAATTGAGAAAAAATTGAGAAGTTTATATGTGGAAGGTTGTTAAGTTGACAAATATAAGAGTTGTTGATTAGCATGGAACTGGAACTGATAGCATAAATGTTTATTCACACAGTATGATACGCTTCAGTATTTGAATAATATAACTAACACCATACTCTCAATTCTCGGTGCTTAATAATTTTTAAAGACATCATTATGATGAATATAACCAATATTTATATAACTTAACTGCAGTGAAAAAACTTGCATCGTTGAATCCAATGATAATAAAAACGATGCTGGTTTGATGATGATTGCGGAACTATGTGACGGGGATGCTCGAAAAGCTTTAAATATTCTGCAGTCCCTTATTGGATTGAAACAAGAAAACTCTGAAGCCAATGATATGAGTACTAAATCAATCAAAGATCCTTTCGTTTCCACTGAAGACGTTAAAAATGTTATCTACAGAATAGTCCAATATGACAGAAATGGTTAATACATTACTGTTATTTTTATGACTAAAATTAACTTAAAACTGGCTAACAAATTTTAACAGGAGATGAACACTACAATGCAGCATCTGCCCTTCAAAAATCAATACGTGGATCAGATGAAAATGCTTCCATTTATTGGTTAGCTAGAATGCTGGAAGGTGGTGAGGATCCTTTGTTCATTGCTCGAAGGCTTGTTGTCTGTGCTAGTGAAGATATTGGTTAGTCGTAATAACCAGCTAAAACTATTCGTTAAAGTTGCAGGTCATTTGCATTTTGATGTTCGGTTCTTTTATGCTAAGTGTTCTAATTTTGAGAGATCAGTTCATTTTGATAAATTTCGTACAGTATCGAAATAGTTTAATCGTAATTATAAATTTAAATAAAATTTAAAAAGGGCTGGCTGACAATTGTGCCTTACCATTGGCTGTATCAACACTTCAAGCCTGTCAACTGATTGGTGTCCCAGAATGTTCTGTGAGTATTATTTTATTATATGTTTAAGCTTCAAGCCTACCTTCACCTAAATACGCTTTCAGATTTTCTTTTTAAAATATAACATTTTTTCTAAGTCAAAAAAGAGGTGGGAAAAATCAGACTAAAATGTTTTTGGTTTTAGCGGATTTTTTTTTAAGGCCAAAACACTTAACAACTGCTTAGTTTGAAAAGTATCTATATTTCCATTAACTAGTTGCAAATATGCGGGCAAAAATTTAGAAATGTAATGTAATTTGCTTTTATGACAATTGATTTAAAACATTAGAGACATTTCTGTTCTAAGATAAATCTATATAAATGTTGATAAAATGTCTGCAACTTAATACTTTTTAAATAAAGATAAATCTAGCTCACTGTGTGACGTACTTGGCTCGAGCTGCCAAGTCAAACGAGTCATATATGGCTCTGAAGAGGGCTCAACAAAATATATTGGATCACAAGGGTCCTCTGCCTGGCGTACCCCTGCATCTCAGAAATGCTCCGACCAAACTTTTAAAAGACCTAGGTAAGTGCTTTCTTCACAGTTTCTCCATTTTTCAAGTAATTTTCTAAAACTAATCAATTTTATGTTAAGGCTACCACAAGGGCTACATATACAATCACAGTCATATTGGACCAGTTGATCAGTCGTATCTTCCTGAATCATTATCTGGAATAAATTTTTTTCAACCAAGTTGATCAATATAAATATTTTGCAAAATAAAATCTGAAGTAAAATCTCACATGAAAAATATCAGTCAAGTCAAGATTTTTTAATGTTTTTTATGATTAGACCAAGATACTTTTGCTCATTCGTAACAAATATAATTGAAATATTGACACAATTTTATATTTCTTTATTTAAACTATCAGTTCACAAATAAATACTTTCCACCAAAGCTTTTTATAATATAATTAATATAAGAAACGTTTGCAAGAAGCGTTTAGTTGCGCCTAAATAAACATTTAGGTACTCCTGTTTGAATACATGTCTTTGTTTGAATCTGCATGAACGTTGCTCTCCTTGACATCATTGTTAACATTCTTATCAGTTTCACCTGTTTTTTCACTTCCAACTTTTTTATTCACTGTATCAGATTTCTGTATATACAGTATAACGGTAAATATATTTGGTTCAATAGAAAGGATTATAGAATTTGTTCTAACCTTATCAGCTGAACCCCAGATATCTGAAAATATTAATTCCTAATTGATATTAGTGTGAATCATTGTATTATAATAATTTCATAATTTGAAATTTAGTTTCAAAACAATCATCTCATAATGATTTCAAAAAATCACAAGAACAATTCTCTGACTGTGCAAATATTATAACATGATAGATAAATAATGAAATTTGAAATCTTATTCAATCAATTCCTGTTGATGTGCTTAAAATTGGAATCAGATGTCATTTTTAAATCTGTAATATTAGAATGCGTTATAAATGAATATTGATGTAAAATGTTGAATGATTTAATTAGTAAAATGAACCAACCATCTGTTGTTTCTTTAAGATAGTCCCATCCTTGCTGAGCAAAGTCAGAAGCTTCTTTGGGATAACAAACTGCTGCAGCTGTTGCCACTGAGATAGAACTATATATAATCTTTTTAAAAATGCCACCTGAAATAAATTTTTTTTTACTATGTATAATCAGTGTTTTTCATGTTTTTAATATGGATGGAATGTTAAAAAAATATTCAACTATATTTTATTAGATGCTATTTAAGAACTGTTGTTTACATTTCAAAGACTAATTTGCTTTTATTAATATTTATTTTCAGGCCTGACTTTACTTTACTTAACACCTCTACTTAAAATAAAATAATCAAATGTGCTAAACAATTTTTCAAAACGATTTCCAACATAATTTAGGTGATATTTATGCTTATTTCAGTGCATCAAAAATTTCAAATATTATAATTTGTCATTTTATATTCTACATGCTTGCCTGCCAGATTAACACCTCTGACTTATATCCATCATTTTTCTGACAAATGAATAAATTAATTTACAAGAGTTAATTGAAATGCAGAAGATCGTGCTAAGAGGATGTCTTAGTACTCTTCAAACGTCTAACAATAATAAGTCCTTGTTTTGGCTTACAAAATTTAAGATTCTAGTAGAATTTTGGATAAAATAAGGCAAAAAACCGAAAGGCACAAAATAAATGGGCAAATAAAATATCTAGAACTTTTAAGATTAATTTCTTGTGAACCTCTATATCCTGCAATGACGCCTCCCAAGCCTGCTACAGTGATAATCGCTATTCTCGGCAGAACAGCAGAATCTTCATGTATATAGGCTAATGTTTCTTTTGTATGACTTTCTGCTACATTGTATTTGTCTTTTATGGTAGCAATCATGCCCTGAATGGTTGTACATGAAAATTAATTTATCAAAAGGTTCATCATTCTAATATTGAATACTTTGTCTTATAAGGGCAATTTATGAAATCAAAAAAGGTTTACAACACTAGCATATATAAATACATAAAAATTAAAATTTGAGAAAAAAATAAAATTAAAATTTGAGAAAATTAAAAAAAAGATTCTAAGATTCAACTCATACAGTTTAGTAGAAAATTAAATTTAATTAAAAAAATATTTAGTTAGAAAAATATGGAAAATGGCTTTCTTAACAATTCAAAGTGTAACATGTATTAGGTAGTTAACAAGTTTAGTTTGCCAAGAATATAAAATCAAGAAAAGATTAATAGACTTGACTTATTTTCTATGTAACTATTAACTTTTATAGCAGTAATAAATTGAAACTTTTTGGTATGTAAATATTTGTAAATAAATTAATAAATATATTAAAAAATGAATGGAGATCAGCATGATTGGGTTACGAAATGACAAGAGTTTCACAGCATGACTGGGTTACAAAATGACAAAGGTTTCATAATGTACAATTTCTGGACTTCTGGCAATGATAAAAAAGTTAACCTCCATAGACCCAACATATTCCCAGACAAATTTTCTAGCATCTGATATGGAGCTTCTCAGCATCGATATATTTTCCTCTTCAACTATGAATGTTGGCTCACTTTTTTTCACGTCATACAAAGGTAGCTATATACAATTTTGATTGAAAATTTACGACCTCAATATCGTAAATAAAATCAAGTAAAGATCATTACTTCTGAAAGTTTGATTTTGCTGTCCTTTTGTGGAGCAGCAGCAAAAATTGTTTTCTTCGAAATTAAGGCAGCAGTAACTGCTGAGGTACCAACAAGAGCTCCAAGCTTAATCATGGCTGAATGTTTTTAAAAGTTAAAAATAAAATATATTATAATCATATTAATATATTTTTCCTAAGTCAATGCATGAATGAATTGGTATGGAATGAGTTTGGCAATATAAATTACCGCAATGCTTCAATTCTATTCTATCTCTATTCCAAAATATTTAGTTAATGATGAGAATATTTCTTCATTAAAAGAATTCAGTTAATGCAAAGTTTTGCTATTGACAAAATTTTTATTATAAATTGAACAAAGTAGCTTTTGAAAACATTAATGTTGCAGATTTAAAGATTTTAACCATCTGTTGATTATCAAATTAAATAATTATAAAAACTTTATAAAAGTGATTAGTTGTAAATCATATCATCTTAAATTAAATTGGGCATCAATGAAATAAAAAAAAATTGAACAAAGTTGTCTTATTTTTATTCAATAAAATAGGCTTGTTAAGTAAAAAAATGTTTCATATCATAAATCATAGTTTACTAAGTAAAATAACTTCAAATCTATCCATTCAACTAAGATATTTTTACAGCAACACAGTGATTAGTATACAACAATGTAGAATAGTAGATTATTACATTCTTAGTTTTGTAGACTTACTACATTACTAGCATAACAACTGAAAGGCAAGTTGAGCAGATGTATTTTACTACTCACCAGCCTGCCTAATACTCAAACCAAACCTTAATTCGTGCATCTACAAACAAATACATAGAAAAAAGTAAACACTAAAGTCTGGTTATTATTGCTAATTTAGGCTAGTCAAATCATTCATTCAAATGTCAATCTAATAATTATTTAATTTTTAAACTATATAGTAAAAAACCTACAAAAAAGTAATTTCCCGTTTGAAAAAATAGCCAAAAGAGACTCGTTTTAAACAAATAAAAACCTTACATTTCAAGCTCACACTTACTCGATTTTAGTTTAGGGTCTGTCTAGTTTAGTCTATCTTATACAAACACAGATTTAGATTAAAACAAAACCTAAGCCTAAAGTCAAGTAATGTCGACATAGAATAGATAAGTAGAAGGATTTGTAAGCAACCCACAAAACACTGATATAAATATAATTATATATCCATGACGGATAATAATAAGAAAATTTAAGTTTATTCTTTGTATCATATAATTAGATTATAAGGCCACTTTTTCTATTTTTTGATTTATTGTCAATCAACTAATCTAGTAAAAAATAACAAAAAGTAATTTCCAATTCTAAAAAAGAGTTTGTTGATTACAAACATATATATAGGATATAACATAATGTTATATTCTATATATATATATAGAATATATATATATATATATATATACAGAGAGAGAGAGTTACAAATAAAAAACAGATATATATAAATATATATATGTTGGTAATAGACCATAATTTTTACAATATTCTATAAATTCTACCGAATGTTTGGCGTTAATATGTTTGTAGTTCGTAAACGAACTACAAAAACATACTAACGCCAAACATTCGGTAAAATTTATAGAATATTGTAAATATATATATATATATATATATATATATATATATATATATATATTTAGGAACGAGGTTTTCAGAAATGCAAATTTCATTGAAATTGTTTGCCCATTTTGCATTAATTAACTTCTTTATAAGACATTCAACGAGGCGGTATTGTTTGAGTTCATATTCATCTAAAACTGGAATAAAGCTAGCAGCGCTGTTTCGGCGTAATGCCATCTTCAGAGCCTAAATATTGTTTAAACATATAATTTAATTAAAATAAATGTCTAATGTAAAATGTGAAAATATAGAAAATAAAATATGTATTAAATTGTGAAATAAATTAACCTTGTTGTAAATATCATAATAACTAAAGTTTATGTAGATTATATAAATAAAATAATGTAATTTAAATAAAATGTTTAGTAAAATAATTGAATGTATGATGTATTATGTGATACTTAATATTTGATCTATACATCGATATGTATCTTGCATGTACATATATGTATTTATATTTAACTATGTATCCGTAGGTCTGATGTGGAAACTCGTATCACACATATTCAACCGCAATAGTTGTATTCACAACGCATACACAGCAATATTATATATCTGGCGCACATGTCATTCGTAATTAGTTTTCACTAACGTTTTTCAACCATGTTAAAACTTTTATAAAATTTCTATATTTTAATTATTTTACTAAACATTTTATTTAAATTTTGATCGTGTTCCTTTGTTCCTTTTCATTGCATTAAAGTTGATATATCAGTATTAAGAAATTAATAAATTATAATTATATAATTTATCAGTTATTTTATTCAATTGTTTTCAACTGCCTTGGCGTGCTGAATACTGATAGAAAGGTAATGATTTAATAAATTAAATAATTTTTTTGTGATCTGAATGCCCCTTTGATTTGTTCTTTGTTGTGTTATTAACTTTAAAGTTTAACTTAACTTTGTTAATATTTTAATTTATTGTATAATATTTTAATTTATTTTATAGTATCATAACTTAGACAAAAGAATAAATAAAAAATGGATTCTTTGAATGATTATAACATAGCTTTAACTTTGTTAATATTTTAATTTATTGTATAAATAATATTTTAATTTATTTTATTTTATAGTATCATAACTTAGACAAAAGAATAAATAAAAAATGGATTCTTCGAATGATTATAACAAGCATACTTTATCTAGACAAGACACATAAAGAGGAAGGTGGAAGATTTTTTTAATAAAATTCCTATGGAAGAAACAAAGAAACAAATATAGCATCATTAGTTGTTCAAAATAACAAGCAAGATTGCACTACTAGGAACATCAATAATATTGATGCTAATGAAAATTATGAAAGGTACAATGATCAGCTAGAATAATCTTTTAGTCTGCTATCAAAAATATTAAAATTTCAAGATTCTGATAATGCTAATGATGAAAGCTTCAGTTTGTTTATGTATAATATAGTTCTAATAATACAGAAATTTCAAGTTTATCAACCAGCACGTCATCATCTAGCAGCCTAAGAACTTTCAAAGAGCATCTAGCTACATGGGCTGTACAATATAAAATTAGCCAAAGAACACAAAATGCATTATTGAAAATTTTTTCTGAGTTTGGATGAAGTAATAAGAAGAGTGATGTCTCACATAATGAAAAATGATGTAGCCTTTGGATTCAACATGGTTGGGAAAAAAGGGAAAATGCCATTTGGAAGTTCAAAATTATTCGAGATTGTATACAGTAAGTATAATTTAAAAACCATTTTCTTCAATTCATTTTAGTTCAATTTTAATATTTTTTTCCTTAGTATTCATTAATCTTTTTTTATTAAAGTTATTTTTTTGTCTTGCCCGGTTCCAGCCATTGTAATCTGCACATTTCTCCAAGGGACTCAGCTTTGGAGAACATGAACCTGCAGTAGCTACAATAAACATATGGAGTACTCCATGTTTATCGTAGCTACTGCAGGTTCATCTCAGATGGCTGACTCCTGGCCAACTCAGCCTTACATCTTTTCGGAATAAATTTATGTTAATAATTTTTGTAAAATAATTTTTTTATTCATATAACAGGATCAGTCAAAAAATGCTTCAATTGGAGAGGTCATGAAAAGAGATGTGGAGTTAGCAGTGGCAAAATGGTTGATTGGTGCTCGAGACAGATGGTAAAAAGGCATTTCGGTTGAACAAATAAATTCATCTGTAAGAACAAATGAAGGAAATTTTTCAGATGAAAATGATAATTGTGCATAAATGAAATTTTTCATACTATAACATTTTATATTTAGTATTTATAACCTGACTTTCTCATTTAATTATTTTTTGAACATCGAACATTTAGTATTTTTTGTTCTCTTATTTTCTCACATGGGTCCCACGCGAATTGGACGGTCATTTTGTTACCGGTCCCACGTGGGCAGCCCATATGGGGCCTATATGTTGGCCCACCTGTGACCTATATAGGTCCCATTTTTCATTGTTCACTGGACAGTTACAATTAATTCAAAATCTGGCTGCCAAGTTGTTAACTGGTGGTTCATATTTTGATCATGTTACTCCTATTCTCTTCAATCTTCATTGGTTGCCCGTTCAACAAAGAAATATTTTTAAAATTGCCCTACTGGTGTACAAAAGCATTAATGGATTAGCGCCGAAATATCTAATGGATAGAATTGTTCCAAGAAATGCACCGTTACAGTGTCAGAAGTTACGGTCAAACGATTTAGATTTGTTAACAATTCGTCAAACTCAGCTTGCTGTTGGTTGCAGAAATTTCGCGATATTTTTCATGATATGATTTGATTGAAGTGAAACAATTAATCAACTTTTGCATTAGCGCATTTAATCAACTTTTACATTGTTAGCGCCTTTGAGAATATATATATATATATATATATATATATATATATATATATATATATATATATATATATATATATATATATTGGATTAAGACTGTCAGAGATGCAATTATTGATGAAAATCACAGCATGTTCGGCGTTAATTAACTTACAAAACTTTTCGATTTTTCTAGCTTTTTTAGTTCAAAACCTAAGCTTTTTTCGGTATAATTATACCATCTTCGGTGTTCAAATTGATATGTTGGAGTTGTGCCCAGATGCTCAAATATTTTTATACTGTGCCTATTTATTGGTTCCTTATTTGTTTAAAGTGAATTTCCAATTTTCAACGTCGTAAAATATAACATTTTTACGTCTTTTCATTATCGATGATTCCTCTGTTTCTAGTTAAAAACTCATAACCCATACATCTTAAGCACACACACACATACAAATTAAATATTATTATTATTCACTCTAAAATATTTCTCAGATAAAGAAATAAAATGTACGGAACATAAATTTGGGATATATATGTATGTATATTATATATATATATATATATATATATATATTATTCTCAAAGGCGCTTCAACAAAAAAATATTTATTTGTATATTTATTTTATTCATTTATTTATAGATCGGTGTGCGTAATTTAAACAACCATGATCATTGTAAAAATTGAAAATCTTCCAAAATGATTATTCATCTAATCTATTTTTAGCATATAACGTCATGTAAAACCCGACATTCCAAGGTACTTAGTGCGTTTAAAATTCCCTGGTTATTGCCTACGGTGATTCAATTAACGTCATTGCTTGTTATGGGTTGATCAAATTCTCGTGTCATCAGACTGATCACTTCAATTTCAAACAAAATTTCTGCTGTAAATATTTCTATAATGGCCTCGGGTTTCTATTTTTGTTTAAATATTTTTTTCATGACGTTATTATTGTCTGTGGTTTCTGGAATTACTAATGTAGATTATGAAAAAGATCATGAAAAACCTCTGATGAAACCTTTTGTCAAATGTGATAAAGATGTATGTGATTTACGACACCAATACTGCGACAAGGTTTATTGATTTATTTTTATTTTTAAAAACTGTTTATCGGTATGAAAAAATAAAATTGGGAGAGTCTGTTGTTTATATAAATATATATTTGTTTTTTTTCTTTAGATAATTTCCAAATGTGCTTCTTGTCCGACTGACTGCTCAGAGAACAGAATGAAATCGGATCAAGTTATGAAGGGAAGATGTTTACATTACTGTTCATGTTTGTATATTTTTTATCACTTCAGTACATTGCAATAGCTCTTAGTTATTTTTATGGGTGACCGCTGGATGGAAAAATGTTAAAACCTTAAAACCCATACATCTTAATCACACACGTGCACACACAAACACACACACACACACACGTGCACACATACATATATATATATAATATATATGTATGTGTTTTAATATATGGTTTTAATATATATATATATATGTATAAATATATATATATATAGTATATACATACATACATATATATATATATACATACATACATATATATATATATATATATGCATATACTGAAACTCTTATAAACGTTATATAATATAATCCTTCTAGCTCATGAAGAATGCAGTTTACTCTATAATATCACATACACATCTATAACATCACATACACACACACAAGCGCTGCTTTAAAGCATTTTTGGTAGGTAGAGTTGAAATAAATTTTTTACTCCTCGAATGCTTTACTTTCAAAGTCAGCTGATTCACTTAATGAATTATTGCCACGTAAAGACATTTTCTTTTTTTCTTTTTTTTTATGTTCCTTATAAACTTCTTGTTGCAGGAGGCTGGATTGATTAGGAAATTTTCGAAAAATTACTTCTTGACTTTGCTTATAATACACATACACATAGCTGTCATTTAGTTACATACCAGCAACATCCGAAATCAACTGCCTAACAGCTCGTTAAAACTAGACGCTCTCAGTTTCAAAACCTATCTAATTGCTGCAATTCATTGATAATATTAGGTTTTTGTAATTTTATTTTATGAATTAAATAAACTTTTTAAAGCATCCTAATTTATTATATTGTTTCACATTCAAAACAGGGTGGTTTTATTTCAAAAATATGTCTTCTAGTGGCGTATCGAATTTGGATACTCGCCAAGGTATGTTTTTTATATTGTGATTTGTTTTAAACGATGTTTACATACTGTTTTAAATGAACATTTTAGGTCTTTCAAAGTCAGCTGATTCACTTAACCTATCAGAGTTGTTACTGTGGATAATTGTTCTGCTGCTATCCATTTTAACGATTGTGTCCATTTTGATCTTATCGTTATTACTTATCATACATTGTAGAAAACAAAAGCGAGCGTTTGAAGTAGGTGTTTAAAGTTAATATTTTTACTCTAGTAATTATTATTATTGTTTTTTTTTAATTTTCAGTGTACGTTGTTCAAGAAAATGTCATGTGCCCCTGGGCAAAACAATGGTCACCTACCAAATAGCGCGACTCAACCGACACTTTCTTCTTTAGTCCCCATGAGCAACCAATGTTCAACAGTTACACAAGAGCAATCGACTTTATTACAACAATCTCACACAGCTATAAGTCGACAAAATAACGAAGCTCGTAATAATATTTGATCAGAATATCTTCTTAATACTGCAATCAACGAGTTTTATTTTTCATGTGTTTCACTCTTGTACATAAAATCTGTTTTTTAATAATTATGTTAAAACATTCAAGACTGCGAAGAATTATTTAATTGTATGATTGTTGGTTGACTGAGCTTGTAAAAATTATATTTTTGTAAATAAATAAATGCAACGTACATCACCTGTCTAATTATTATGTATTATTAAAATTTAACAGGTTTCAAAGTTAACAAATTTTTAATTAATATTGACGACTTAACATAAACCATAAACATTACAAAAAATTGATTGACCTGAATATTTAAACAATTTTTAAAAAAGTTCGAATAATTATTCAAAATTCAAGCGCATGAAAATAAAAAAATTTCTACCAACACGAGTAAGTTCAGAGAAATGTTTACTGAAATTTGTGGATGCATGAGCAGTTTTGAGGTTATGACGTCATTATTTTTTAATAGGGATTACATAAACCTCCAAGTATGTAGAAAATGATTTTGAGTAACACCAAAAAACTAAAATTAGAATAAAATGTTACAAACTTTTCCTAGCCAACCTTGATGACGAGTATTATAAATAACTTCCCATACTGAACATTTATGGTTTACGTATACGTTGTTAAAATGTTGAATACGTTATGAAATTTTAGTATAAGAATTAAACTATGACAATTAACCGTTGCATTGACAAAGGAACATTTGACGCTAGGGATTTAATTCAATCAATCACTAACACTATGGCTCCCAGAGATAAATTTGTTACACATGCAATTCGAACGAATAAAATATAAAAAAAATGGCACGTGGATTTTTAAACTGAAAGTTTTCTATACATATCATGTCCCACATTTATTAAAATTTTTTTATTTGAAGCGTTTGATAACGTATATAGATGACCTGAAAGCAATTACGTCATTAAACTGTATTTTTACGCTGTAAATGTACGGTCTCTACTAGAGTCTTCCTAAACTATTTATATTGGTCGTCATTGCTTTTCTTGCTTTTAATTATATTTTACTTTACGTATTATATTTTAATTATATTTTATTCTATATATATGGTACGCTCCATAGAAATTGAAAAATGAAAACGTGTCTGGTTTTCCATAGAAATTGTTTTCGAGTGTATATTTTGTGTGACTATTTTATCCTACACATTTTTAAAATCAACAGCACCGGTTTCAAATTCGAAATCTACTCGAGATCGTGTTGTTATTCAATCCTTCTGATTGTTAGTTATTTTTCAAATAATTATACTGGCATATATTATGTTACTTGTATTATATTACTTAGAAGACTTGTGCTTAGGAAATAATTTAGATTGAGGTTTGAGACTTAAACATTGGCTAATCTAATAATGCCGATTACTGATTAATCAATGTGCAAATTTTAAAAATTATTCTATATTTTATAGTTAGCCAGTGCAAGAGAACAAGATATGGAGATATATGAGAAATGAAAGGGGCATGAGGAACTAGATGAGCAGCAGAGTTAATAGCTTTACTTAATTAATTAAAGGATAGAAGCATCAGAAAGGAAAGGCCATAGTAATTACATAGTAAGGCCATAGTTATTACATAGTAAGGCCATAGTGTTACAATAATCAGTCCTAGATAAAACTAAAGAAGTAACAAAAGGAGAAGAGAAGGATCGTAAAGAAAAGGCAATAGTTTTTTTATTCTACTTAGATGGAAATAAGAACTTTTAGCAACACTTTTAATCTGAGAAGAAAGAGACACGCTTGAATTAAAGATAGAGCCTATGAAACTTATTAGAAGCATTAAGAGTTTTAGAATCTGGACCTGTCATTTAATTTTCATTATTCTGTTTTCTTTTGCTTTATTTATAATTTTATATAGGAATAATTAGATGGTATCATTTTCTTTTGGACAATAATGTTTGACTGTAAAAATTATTTCCATAGATTCTGAATAAAGATAATGTTTGGTGCATCTGGGTCATTTGGCCAGTCAGCTGCGTTGAACAATGCAACATCATTCAATAATCCCTCAAAAGATATAGAGATTCCATCTCCTCCAGATGATAGTATCAGTTCCCTCAAGTTCAGCCCTGCTACATTGTCTTCCACATTTTTGGCTGCTGGCAGCTGGGACAACAATGTTGGTCATTATTTAAATTAATTTTTGAAAGAATTTTGTAATTGTTCATATTTTCAATGTTGCCAGGTGAGATGTTGGGAAGTGCAACAAAATGGAACGTCAGTCCCGAAAGCCATGCAGGCTCATGCGGGACCTGTACTTGACGTCTGCTGGAGTGATGTATGTCATCTCATTTACTTCTTATTTTATGCTTTGTATTATTTTACTATTAATGATAAACAAATTTTGCACATTTTTTAACTTAAGTTTTATTTTAAATTTAAATACATTAATCTTTCACCTGTTTGAATTCTTTTTCAGTATCGTGAATCCAATATACCTAAAATATTATAAATTAAAAAAATAATTGTATATAACAAATCCATCATTGTCATTCATACGTAATGTTATGACTATGTTATGACTATTACCATCAATGTCATTCATACGTATTGTTACGACTACATTATGTTGCAATGACCCAACATTAGTTTAAATGGACATTAATGTTATTAAAAATGTCAATCAATTTTTTTTGATGCGGTTGTTAGATTTGTACTAAGAATTTTTTAAGCACCTGCTTCACATGAAAAATTATTTGAAGGCGTTTATAATATTTGACTGTTGTCTAACAGTTTATTATGCTTGAGGATATGTATGTATATGCAATCAAAAGTTATTGAACAATTTATAAATTAAGGATGGCAGCAAAATATTCACAGCATCGACTGATAAATCTGCTAAAATGTGGGATCTGGCTTCAAACCAATTTGTTCAAGTTGCTCAAGTTTGTAAAAATAAATTAACTGTTATTGACTCTTTTAATATCTATTTCATTATTTTTTTATTCAAAATGATCTGTAACGTTTTTTTCTAGTTTCAAATTTTAATAATGATTTTATTTATTTGCATTTTTATTTGATTGTGTTCTCAGTCTCAGTTGAATTCAATTGTGTTATTTTTAAACATTCTTGATCTTTATAATTTGTATTCACAAATGCATGAAAAAAATCTAAGCTTATATTGGAGTGTTAATTTTTTCGAATACTTCTTTCATTAATTAACAATTTTCATTAGTGGTGCAGAATTAGTATTTCAATTGAAATAACACAAACAGCATGAAGCCCCCGTTAAAACAGTGCACTGGATCAAGGGTTCATCATATTCAGTTTTGATGACAGGCAGTTGGGATAAGACTCTCAAGGTAGCTTCTTTACATTTTTTTGGAAATTATAAATTTTGAAAACTTTTATGATATTCAGTTTTCTTTGAAGAGGATTTGAAAGGGTTATTAAAGATGACTTTTTTTATTCATTCGCTGATTGTTTTTTAAAATCTGAACATTCTGAGTATTCTCTATTATATTCATCTAATCACCTTCTTATCAACCTTACTCATGGTTCAGATGATTTTTATGTATCTTTATTTGTTTGCTTCAACACATGACAAAATATTTTCCAGACAGGCTTGAACTACTGTTTTTTCAAGTCCAACATTAAGTTATTTCTGCTCACACTCATCTGTCAACATTTCTTAATCACTTAAATACAACTGTGATGATGATATGGTCATCTGATTTCACATTTCTGCACCATTAATTACGAAAGGATGATTCCCTCTCACCATCTGCTGAACCATTCATTAACAACATTGATTTTGTTTTCTATCTCAAAATGTACCTCCCATCAAAGACAGTAAACAAATTCTTGACTTGACAGAAAGCTGATTCTTTCTTTAATAAATTTTGTTGAATCAATCCCTCACTGGAGAAGATGACTTTTTCAACAATTATAAACCAGCTAAAATTTAAAAAAAATTTTTAACTTTCGCAATAAACTTTCATAAATTGCTTTATAACTTTTTATCTTTTTGTTTCACGTTAAATTTGCATTGATTTTCAACTGTTTTTTTTGGTTGTTCATTTGAGTTGATCATTCTAATTGAATACCTTATTTGATTACTTAATGTTTCTCAACAGTTTTGGGACACACGAACTCCAAATCCTATCTTAAACATTCAGTTACCTGAAAGAGTGTACTGTGCTGATGTGGTTGGTTTTTTAAATACTCTTCAGAAAACTTATTTTTTTGTTAAAATATTGTTTTTGTGTGCGTATACAATTTTTGAAATATTTTAAATTGTGTAATCTTTTTATTCAGCTATATCCAATGGCTGTAGTTGGAACAGCAGGAAGGCAAGTTATCATTTATCAGCTAGATAATCACCCCCAAGAGTTCAAAAGTCTCGAATCTCCGCTTAAATATCAGGTCTGTTATTCTCCATTCAAAGTTCATCAATTTTTTTAGAAACTATTTAATCTAACAAAACTGCTTTTAAATGATTTTATTCGAATGGTTTTGTCATTATTATCATTGATTTGATATCAGAGAGAGAGAGTTTAGCTTATTTTCAGTGGCATGGGTTGCCATGCTGACATTATGCATTACTAATGTAATTTACATTCATGAATATGTTACCAGGAGGGGAGCATTAATTATTTTATGTGATTAAAATTTTTTTAATGCTGTTTTTTAAATTTTTAAATGAATTATCACTTGAACAGCATCGGTGTGTAAGCATATTTTGCGAACGAAAACCAGCCTCTTCAAACGCGTTTTCAAACACACAACAAACCTCCGGACTCCCTGTTGGATTTGCTTTGGGAAGTATCGAAGGTCGAGTGGCCATTCAATACGTCAACCCCGTCAATCCTAAAGATAACTTCACCTTCAAATGTCACAGATCAAATGGCACTGGCCAGTCAAATCACCAAGATATTTACGCCGTTAGTTTTTTTTTATGTATTGATTAGTTTTTTTTTCTTTGATTATTATTGGAACTGTTTACCAACTGTTCTGTTTATTTATTAACGATAAATTTGCAAATTGAGTTTCTCAGGTAAATGGCATAGCTTTTCATCCTGTGCATGGTACACTGGCTACGATAGGATCAGATGGTCGATTCAGTTTCTGGGATAAAGATGCTAGAACTAAATTGAAAACATCTGATCCTCTTGATCAGCCCATAACTACATGCGCTTTCAATGCACAAGGAACCATATTTGCTTATGCCGGTAGTTATGACTGGTCCAAGGTATAAAGATTTGTAGTTTCTTTTTGTTTAATTTATCTTTTCTGCATTTATAGGAATTTGAAATAATAATTTAAAACTAAGCCTGTGTATTACTATACTTCTGGTACCGAATTCTAGATTAGGAGGCAGTTTAATTATCGTTCGAGATTGGTTTTATTTATTTTGATAATTGAAATAATTAATTAATTAATTATTTATAGGGACACGAAGGGTATGACCCTTCAAAGATGAAGCCACGGATATATCTCAGATCATGTTTTGAGGAACTTAAACAAAGCAACAAGAAATGATGTGTTAAATCTTATAAATGTTTCAACTAGTTTCGTAATTCAACCTCCCAGAAGTGGCATGAACTTCAAATTAAATATTCAGTTTATTATTAATTGGTTTGTCTGTTGTGTCAGAATTATTGCTTGATAAATAGTTGCTGGTGTAGCTGATTCTAAGTCATCAAGTTGTCTACACTTTATTATTTTTTTTATCATTTGAAGAATACTAATTTTTTTCAGTTTTCCAAATGAAATTGTGGTAAGCTCAGAAATATGACCGAGAACAATAATTAAAGTTTACGGTAAATAAAAATGTACATAAATGTATATGTTAAAAAACATGATGAAATGAAAAATAAAATATGCTGCTCAATGGTTGATAATAAAATTTGGAAGAAGAATTTTGTGCAAAATTTGGTTTGAAGGCAACTTGAAATTTTTAAACATTGGCGTCACTTTTATTGAGTATAGTCTATTTGTATGGTTATAACTAAGAAGGATCATAAACTGAATTTCAAATGTTTTTGCATTTCTGTATTTTATTGAATCCAATCTTTTATGATGTTTAGGTTTAATTTTTCAAATTTGTGACCTATCAAATTCGCATAAATCGTTATGTGGTTTCTTATCCAATGTTTACAGTTCTTGATTATTTATTGTTGCTCAGCTGACCGATATGGTTGGTAAGCAATTGAATTGACAAGAAAAATTGTGATACATGTGAAAACTCTCTTGTGTTGTGAGGCAAATGAGATATAATTTTATCGGAACATTTATAAGATGCTTTAAAAAATCATCGAAGACGCACAGTATAAACACAAATTGATTTATTTTATAAACTAGTTTATGAAAATGTTATTTAGAAAATGTTATTTTACGTCCTACCTCGGGAAACCGGGTCTCTGGACGCAAAACGAAGATTGATTGATTGATTATTTAGAGCATTTTGGCCCCCCGTCAAACCTGTCTGAATCCGTCATTGCAGACGCCTATCCACATTGACATTAAATTTATTCTAACTCAGAGCATTAAAAACTGGCAACGTGTGCCAGTCATCTATCTATCTGGTATGAGTTTGAGACTAACCGTTCGTTCAATTGTGTATTTCTGATGAGCAGATAACGTCGAACTTGCGACAATCTGGCGCTATGCATATTACCTAATCGTCTAAAACCGTGTTCTTCAATTAGAGTGCACATCCTATGTGAGTCACCAAATGACATTCACGACATTGGTCGACACCAGTTTTTTGTGGTAATCTGGTAACTATCTAGAATCCAAAATTTCCTCGGGGATTCAACAACACTTTCATTTTATCAACAGAACAAGGTGAAAATAAAAAATACGCCATCAGACATTATATCACAGACACCGACATCAAAACTACTAATTATCTCACTGAAATAAAATCTACAAAATTAGCAGACGTTAATGAATCTAGAATTTCGTTTAAGCAGACCATAAATGGGGCAGATAATTTTGAAAACCAGCCTCCGCAAAATCTTCGGTTGTGCTTTGTTGATGTTAACAAATTTGTAGCAGATTTAGCAAAAGTGTGTTTAACACGAGTTAAGAAGAAGCGAGAACAAGAAGACGATCGTAAACCATTAATATATCTGATAAGTACTTAGAAAATAATTTAGATTGAAATTTATACATAAATGTGCAAATTTTAAAAATTATTCTATATTTTATAGGTAGGCAGCGCAAGAGAACAAGATATGGAGATATATGAGAAAAGAAAGGGACACGAGCAATTAGCCGAGCAGCAAAGTTAAAAGCTTTACTTAAAGAATAGAGTTTAGAATCAGGTAGACCATAGTAGAGCGAGTTACAATAATCAATCCAAGATAAGTCTAACGAAATAACAAGAAGGAGAAGAGTAAGATCATCAAGAAAAGGCAAAAGTTTTTTAATCTACGTAGATGAAAGTAAGAACTTCTAGCAGCACTATTAATCTGAGAAGAAAGAGACATACTAGAATAAAAGATAAAGCCTAGACTATGAAACTTGTGAGAAACATCAAGAGTTTTAGAATCAGGTAAGATAATAGGAGGAATAGTAATAGAGGGATTTATTAAAACAAATTAATTCAAATTTAGAAGGATTATGTTTAAGACACATAGAGTCAGACCAAGCGATAATTGTCTAAAAACAATTTATTAATAAGCTTCAATCAAATTTGCGATAAAATATTTTTTACGGTAGAAAGAAGACAATTCATTTTCTATAAAGTAGGATGACTAACGCTTCTAGGTGAACTTTAGATCAAAAAATATAGCTCAATTCCTATCTGGTTTTTAAGTTAACTTTCTACTTAAAATCTACACCGCTTCTTTTATGTTCTATATTGTTTACGTACATAAACGATAATATATTTTTACGTGTTTGGAATCGCGTTTATCTGATTATTAAAAATGGTTAGCAATTTTTTAAAATCCGTCCATTATTGAATATGATAATACTAGAATTTATCATGTTTTTGAGAATTTATCTTGTTTTTTGCTTTAACTATTCTTCTTATAACAAATGTTGGTTAAAGCTGGGTTCTGCTCTGCACAACCATGACAACATTAAATGACAAGACAACCCAAACATTTATTATATTTTATTAGATTAGGATTAGTACATCATGACGATAACAATATAAAATGATAGTATTATACATTGCCATTACCACACCACAACTTTTGATTTTTTTTAAATGATATAAAAATAATAATATAAAATGTAAATAATTATTTATATGATTATTAATTTATTATATAATATAATAAGTATGCTATATTAACTCTTGGACTCAATCATCAATTGATTGAACCCTCCAAGAAACAATTGAAATAGAAATCTGCTTGAACATGATGACATGTGACATCTTATCCAGGCGTCTTTAATGCTAGGCTGCTATGCTTACACATAGGGAGCTGCACAAATGATATTATTATTGTTATTATTATTTGTCTGTATTTGTTATATATAAGCATTTTTTTTACTAAGATTCTGTATTCTATTTACTGTCATCTATATAAATTTTGCATTTTAATTAGGTTTACTTATATTTTTTTCATTTTAATAAATGATAAATATATAAATCAATTAATTAATTACCTTTCATAATTAATTATTTAAATTATATTTGTTTGACAGGCCAGAAATTCAGAAAAAGCCATGTAAGGTGTTGAAGTGGATGAATATAATTATTAGACATTTTTTTCATTTTTAATGCTTTTACTAAATTTTTGTCTTATAAAAACGAGTTATTTTTGAAAAATGATATTAATTTAGGACAACATTGGCTCGATGGAGGGCAGCCCACATTGACAACAAAAAAGACAAAGTATGATTTGACAGATCTCTAAATTTAAATTTTCTCTTCAATTTCATTTCATTTACAAAGAATTCTAAATTTTAAAAGTTCTTGTATAGATATATGATCATGTACAGTTGTATTGATACAATATCATCTAGGGTTTTATAGATACAAGTATCATACACATTTACGTTATCCCATAGGAAATTAGACCTTACCTAGCCACAGAATGTGATAATCTTCACAAGGCAGAGAAGTTTAGAAGACAAATCATTGGAGAAGTTTCAAAGAAAGTTGCACAAATTCAAAATGGTCAGTTTTTTTTCTTTATTTTGCGAGTGATTATTACTTTTGATTTTAATTCCTAGATCGATACTTTTTCTATGATTCTAGTTATATTTTTTCATATAAATGTATATGATCATGTATCTACACAACTGCATGTGATTGTTTCAATAAACTGTTTTTTTTTTTTTTATAAAAGCTGGGCTTGGGGAGTTTAAACTAAGGGATTTGAATGATGAAATAAACAAACTGATAAGAGAGAAACGACATTGGGAAGATAGGATAAAAGATCTCGGAGGTCCAGATTATAAAGTTTGTTTCATTACTTTAATTTTTGTCTTAGATTTTATGGGGATAATTACCAGCTTTTTACATTATGACAACACAATTAATTATAAATATATATATATATATATTTACAATATTCTATAAATTCTACCGAATGTTTGGCGTAATATGTTG